GGAATCACCATGGTAATCCGCTAAAGCAGAAAACAAGAAAAGTTATATGATCATATAAATTGTTGCAGAAAAACTGAAACTGAGCAGGGCCCTACGGGCTTCAAGGCACGGAGGCCTTTTTGTCCACCATTTCTTGTAGGCAAGACTCCAGCCTCCGTGACCTTCCAACAGTTGCAAATCAAAGGAGGAGCAGCCAGGAAACCACCTGAGGCCCTGCACACACCCTAATCTTGTCAGCAACCCCACCCTTTTGAAACTCTGCAGAAGAAAGAAGAATGCAGGACTGTTACTGCCTTGATCCTTATCACATACCCCTGACCAGGAGCCCTGACTATAAGACCTCTCCCTATTCCCCAGGGAGAGGGACACAGTTCCTGAGGTGCTAGCCTGCTGTCTACCCCTCTTGGCCTGGCAAATAATAAAGCCACCCTTTCTTTTTCCTCCAAAACTCTGCCTCTGTATCTCATCTCAGCATTGATGTACAGGGAGCCAAGATTTTGGGAGCAAAACCATTTTACAACTTCCAACTAAAGTGTGTCACTGGGCATCTGGCTCTACAAGGATTAGCTCAGCCACTGCATTTGCTGATCTCCAACACACTCTGAAAGGAATTCAGGGTGGAGATAAGGAATGAGATACCCTATGCTCTGGGAAAAACTGGCAGAACAGGCCTTCAGATAGTTAGATATTTTCAGGAGAAAATTTTATTTACCCAATTTCTTGTATCTTCTCATACATAGAAAAGCACTAAAATTATTAACGGAGGTATCTGCTCCTTGTGACTAGCAGCAACCTTCTTGTTACTAGTAGCAACCATGTACCAAGATGTGCACTTGATTGCATGCACCCCCTTCACTAAAATCATATATATATATGGACCTGGACCTCCACGCATCCCCACCTCCACCTCTTGGGAGAAGTTCTGCAGAGCTATCTGAGAGAATGTCTCCTGGGTATAGTCTTCTGTAAGTCCCCAAATAACAGTGAACTCACAGCTCTCTCATGTTGTGCTTTTTTCTCTTTTCCAGTTGACACAATATTTAATACCCATTCATGATTTTAAAAAAAACAACAAACCTCTTAGCAATCTTGGAATAGAGGGACATTTCCTTAAGTCAGTAAAGAATATCTACAAAAAATCTACATATAACATCACACTTAATGGGGAAACTCTGAATGCTTTCCCACTAAGATCAGACATAGGGAAAGAATGTTTGCTCTCATCACTTTTATTCAATGCAGTACTGGAACTACAATCAGCACAATAAGGAATATATATATATATATATATATATATATATAATGGCATACAGTTTGAAAACAGAGAAATAAAATGGTCCCTATTTGAAGACGGCCTGATTTTCTACATAGAAAGTAAATCCTAATGAATCTACAAAAACTCCTAGAACTAACACATGAGTTTAGACAAGCCACAGAATGCAAAATCAACAGTATTTCTATATACTAGCAACAAAAATGTGAAAACTGAAATTAAACACAATATGATTTTACATCTGCTGCAAAGACAATGAAATACTTCAATATAAAGGTAACAATACATATACAAGATCTGCATCCTGAAAATTGCAAAATGTTGTTAAAGGAAGACCTAAATAATTGTAGAGACTTACCATAATCATGGATGGAAAGTCGAGACATAGTAAAACTGCGAAGTGCCCCTAAATTGCTCTGTAAGATTAAAGCAATTCTTATCAAAATCTCATCAAGGATTTTTCTAGATATAGATATATTTATTCTATATTTTATATGAATAGGCAAATGATATAGAAAAATAAAGTGGGATGAATCATCCTATGCATTGTTAATGCTTACTACATAACTTCAGTAATCAAGACAACATGGTACTGGCAGGGAGTAGACACATAGATCAGCAGAGCATCAGAGAACTCAAAGAGACTCACACAGATATGCCCAAATGATTACTGACAAAGGAGCAAAAGCAATGGATAGCCTTTCAACAAATGGGCTAGAGCAACTGGACATCTACAGGTAAAAAACGAATGATCCTCAACCAAGCATTACACCTTATGCAAAAATTAACTCTAAAATGAATCACAAAATATATTGTAAAATGTAAATTATAAAATTTGGGGGTAAAAAGAGGAGAAAAGGGATCTAGGGCTAGACCCAAGAGCGTGATCTATAGAATGAAAAATTGATAAATTAGACCTTATTAAAATTAAACACTTCTGATGTGCAAACAACCCAGTTAAGGTGTGAAAAGACAAATAACAGACTAGGAAAAATATCTGTACACCACAAAGCCAACAAAAGACTTGTATATGGAAAATATAAAGAAACCTCAAAGCTCAGTAGAAAAAAAAAAAGTATCCAAATAGTGAATAGGTCAAAGGCATGAACAGACATTTCACTGCAGATGGTATACAGATGGTGAATAAGCACAGGAAAAGATGTTCAATATCACTAGGTACTAGGGAATGCAAATTAAAACCATAATAAGGTATCTCTATGTACCTGTCAGAATGGGTAAAATTAAAAAGAGTAATAATTCCAATGAAAAATATAAAATGATATAGCCATACTATAGTTTGGCAGATTCTTCAACAACTAAAAGTGTACTTTTCCTACAAACAAGCAATTTTCACTCGGGGGTACTTATCCCAGAAAAATGAAAACCTATGATTACATAAAAGCTGTACATGAATGTTAATGGCAGCTTTATTCATAATAGCCAACAAGTGGAATCAAAACAAATGTCCCTCAGTGGGTGAAAAGTTAAACTGTAGTATATCCCTATGATGAATGAAGAGACTGAAAGACTCTTCCAAATTTATCTACAGATTCAATGCAATTTTAATCAAAGTTCCAGCAGGCTTTCTTTTTTGGTAGGAATTGAGAAGTTGATTCTAAAATTTATTTGGATATGCAAATGACTTAAAACAGTCAAAGCAATTTTTAAAAAGAAAAATTTGTAGGATTAACTCTTCCTGATTTTCAGACTTACTATTAAGCTAGACTAAACCAGATAGTGTGGTACTGAGATATATAGATTAATAGATCAATAGAAGAAAATATAAAATCAAAAAAACAGGCCATGGATTTATGGTCAAGTGATTTTGGACCAAGTACCAAGGAAATTCAACAGGGAAAGAAAAGTTTTTAAACAAATCTTGCAGGAATAATTAAATAATTGTATTTAAAAAATCATCAACTCTTACATCATACCACACACAAAAATTAACTTGAAGTGGATCATTGACCTAAATGTGCAAGCTAAAATTACAAAACTTCTAAAAAAAAATAATATAAGAAAATCTTCACAACTTCTCATAGGCCTAGATAGGACACAGAGTATGAAACATAAGACAAAAATTGTTCAACTGGAGTTTATCGAAATTAAATATCTCTGCCCTTCAAAAATTCCACTAGGAAAACAAAAAAAGCCAAGCATAGAACAGAAGAAAATATTCACAAAAATGTCTGACAAAAGAATGTATAAAGAAAGAACTCCTATACTCAATAATAAATCAAAACAATTTAAAAAATTTAAAAAAGTGAACAGAGACCCTATAAAACAAGATATACAAATGTCCAATAAGTGCATGAGAAGAGGGGTGGGATAGGGATGTTGGGAGGGAGACGCAAGAGGGAGGAGATATGGGGATATATGTATATGTATAGCTGATTCACTTTGTTATACAGCAGAAACTAACACACCACTGTAAAGCAATTATACTCTAATAAAGATGTTAAAAAAAAAAGAAAACGCAAATTAAAACCACAATGAGATACTAGTACACACCCACTAAAATGGTTAAAATGAAAACAACTGACAATACTAGTTAGGAATGTAAAATGGTACAACCACTTTTGAAACCTGTTTGCCATTTTCTCAAAAAGTTAAACACGTGCTTATCATCCAACACAGCCATTCAAAAAGAAATGAAATCATATGTAAACATATGCTCATAGCAACTTTGTTCACAATAATGAAAAACTAAAAACAACCCCAGATCCATCAACTACATGTTGGAGTCTCTCCATTCAATAGAATACTACTCAGCAATAAAAAGCAATAAACTACAGATACATGCAACAACCTGGATGAATTCCAAAATCATTCATTATGCTGAGTGAAAGACACAAAACAGCACATACTGTATCATTCTATTTATATAAAGTTCTAGAAAATATAAAGGAGTCCAAAGGAAGGGAGTTGAAGGGAGGAATAAACTGCAAAGGCATGATGTAAATTTTCTGTATCTTAATTGAGGAGGTCGTTTGCTGAGTATATTGTGCATCTGTCAATACTCTCAAATCGCAGGCGTTATATGGATGCAGTTTATTTTACGTAAATTATGATTCAATAAACTTTTTTTTAATGATACTCCTTTGAAAGAGTCGGAATATAGAAATAAATGTCATAACTGCCTTCAAGGAATTCATAATCACTCCCCTGGATGAATGTCACTCCTCCTCTTGCCAAGAGACTGGTGGGTTTGCACTGATCCTTTTGCTTTCACTTTGTCCTATTTGTGTTACTTAAATTTGCAACACGGGATAAAGGTTTAATTTGTAGTGGACAGAATCTGAAACTTTAATCTCCTTTCCTCTAAATCAGAGTTTACAACCATCTTCCTCTTCCTGGCAGAATATGACATTTAAATAAAATTCCTGATTAAACCCAGGCACGGAGAACAAAGAATAACATTGAGCTGCAGTCCAAAGTACATGCAGTCCAAACTACATGAAGCTGAAACATCTCTTAATAAAGTAACCAGATACTTTTTCTGCAGATGAAGTTGGGGAAGAAAGGCTCCTTCAACATTCAAGTAGATTTGACTCCAAGAGTGGAATAAAGGAACATTTAAACTACCATGATGTGGTATCACATTAATGTGATATCATATAATTTCACACAAAGGTTGCCCACATGAATAAAATCAGTTTGCATACAGTTCTCACTCTGCAATATTTTAAACACTATTTTTAAGATCAAGTATATGAAACAAACTTACCGAAGAAATGATTTAATATTTTCAGCTTTCATCTCAGACACCAGTTTCCACCTTAGATTTTGGTGAGTGTCCCCTGAAGTGGCTGTTTCTTTGAGAGGCTTACTAAGCCAGCCTGGGAGGAGAATACATACACATAAGCATACTACATACACAAGAAATTGCTTTTGACTTTTATAAGAACTAGAAGCCAAAGGGGAAGAAGGAAAAAAAAAAAAGCCCTTACCTAAGAAACAGATCATGGTGAGCTTTACAAAAAAATTCATACCAAATGCAGAAAACCTTCAAATTCTGATGTGTAACTTTGAGTTGGTTAAACGAGTTTTAGGTGAGGGCTATTCTTTTCATTTTCCCATGAGTTATGCATCAAGGCACGGGTCTTTACCTTTCTTGTTCTCCCATAGGGGTTAAGTTCATAGCACAGTGCCTGACACACAGGGAGCATTCGACAAATATTTATGTAATAAATGATGACAGAAGGGCAGTTGAAAGTTTTGACTCATTAATGGTCTTGGAAATGAAATCATCGTTTTGACCCCTGCGGATAGTGACAACTCTAAATTGTCTTAACAGCCCTTAACAGTACCCTGAACTCAGCGAGCATTTAATGAATTTGAATTTCTGGCACACTTTATTAGGAAGGCCGAAATGCATTCCACTCAGTTTCCGGTTGGGCTGAAATTCAAGGAGCTCAGCCGGCCCGGCGCCCAGCGCGCAGCCCAGCTCTTCAGCCCCAGGCTCTACCGCTTTCCTCCGGGGAGGCTGGAGGGATCCGGGGAAGGGGTCGGTACACTTACCCACCATAAATCCACCCAGGAAAGATGCCAGCGCTGCAGCCAAGCACACCCAGAGGTGTAGACGACCCCTGGACTTGGCCATGGCTTCCTCGGGACTGAGCAGGAGGTGCCGGCTACCGGAGCGAGCCTCGGGAATGAGGGCGAACAGAGAGAGCGCGCCCGGGAACGCGGGGAACGCCCAGGTTGCGGCAGACCGTGGCCTCCGCTGACCTTCCTCAAAGCCCTGCCTCTGCTCTCCTGGTGGGTCCAGAGGCGAATGGAAACCGGCCCCAAACTCCTGGCTCCTGCGATCTCCAGGGGGCCTCGAGGGGAGAGAGGAAGCCCTGCAGGAGGAGGACACATTCTTTTTGCTGGCAGGCAACGCCCATTCTGTTGATCCTGGACAAAGTCTGCGTTCCGGGAGACTATTGAAAATGTCCCTGCTTGTTCCTTGAAGAACTCTACTTACCAGCCTCATTCCAGGAGCTGCCAGATGCATTTGACTGCAGCTTTTTCTTCCCTGTTTATTGCCCTGCTGCCAGATTCTGACTAATTTATAACTGGTCACACTTGGGCAGCATTTCTGGTCCTGGCTGCTCTGCGATAACACATTAGTTTCTTAACCACATACAACCTCAAAACTGACGGGAGATACGTTCGGTAGATTACTCCTTTCTGCTCGTGGACGCCTCCGAGTAAGCATCGTTGACGTCTCCCCCCACCTCCACTGCCGTCATGTCTAAGTCAGAGTCACCCAAAGAGCCCGAACAGCTTTGGAAGCTCTTCAGCGGAGGTTTGAGCTTTGAAACAACCGATGAGAGTCTGAGGAGCCATTGCGAGCAGCGGGGAGCGCTCACAGATTGTGTGGTAATGAGGGATCCAAACACCAAGCGCTCCAGGGGCTTCGGGTTTGTCACATATGCCACTGTGGAGGAGGTGGATGCGGCCATGAATGCAAGGCCACACAAGGTGGATGGAAGAGTTGTGGAACCAAAGAGGGCCGTCTCAAGAGAAGATTCTCAAAGACCTGGTGCTCACTTAACTGTGAAAAAGATTTCTGTTGGTGGCATTAAAGAAGACACTGAAGAACATCACCTAAGAGATTATGTTGAACAGTATGGGAAAATTGAAGTGACTGAAATCATGACTGATCGAGGCAGTGGCAAAAAGAGAGGCTTTGCTTTCGTAACCTTTGATGACCATGACTCTGTAGACAAGACTGTCATTCAGACACTGTGAATGGCCACAACTGTGAAGTAAGGAAAGCCCTATCTAAGCAAAAGATGGCTAGTGCCTCATCCAGCCAAAGAGGTCGAAGTGGTTCTGGAAACTTTGGTGGTGGTCGTGGAGGGGGTTTTGGTGGGAATGACAGCTTTGGTCATGGAGGAAACTTCAGTGGTCGAGGTGGCTTTGGTGGCAGCCGTGGTGGTGGTGGATATGGTGGCAGTGGGAATGGCTATAATGGATTTGGTAATGATGGAAGCAATTTTGGAGGTGGTGGAAGCTACAATGATTTTGGCAGTCACAACAATCAATCTTCAAATTTTGGACCCATGAAAGGAGGAAACTTTGGAGGCAGAAGTTCTGGCCCCTGTGGTGGTGGAGGTCAATACTTTGCCAAACCCCGAAACCAAGGTGGCTTTGGTGGTTCCAGCAGCAGCAGTAGCTATGGCAGTGGCCGAAGGTTTTGATTACTGCCAGGAAACAAAGCTTAGCAGGAGAGGGGAGCCAGAGAAGTGACAGGGAAGCTACAGGTTACAACAGATTTGTGAGCTCAGCCAAGCACAGTGGTGGCAGGGCCTAGCTGCTACAAAGAAGACACGTTTTAGACAATGCTCATGTGTATGGGCAAAAAAACTTGAGGACTGTATCTGTGACTAATTGTAATTTCGGTTTATTTGGCCTCACTGTGTATCAGGCACACGAACTTTTTTCAATAACCGTTATACCCCCAATCTTCACTGCATTGTCTGAGGCCCTGATAATCTTAGATAAGGCACTTTTCTTTGCTCCTAAAAAGTTGCCAGAAGGGTCTAATTTCTTTTTCTTGCACTGCAATTGTTGATAAATGTATTTGATGGTTTTTCCTTCAGAAATTTTGTAGAAGAAATATAGGTTTCTGATAACTGTCAGATCATACTACTGAACTGGGTAACAAATTACAGAACTCTAATTGAAAAACTGATGGCTTCCTAAAACTGCTAACAGCAGATCAAGATCAACAAGAATCAATTACATTAATGACTGAATGAACTGATGAATGTAATTATAATTTTTATGACTTTTTGTTTGAAATATTACTGGTTTTTTAATCTTTCATTTTCAGATATGAGGAAACCTTTCCTCCTGTGTAATGACACATGGCAATTTGGTAAATCATACTTTTGTATAATACCTTTGTATTTACATAAAGTCATTCATAATCTGCTCTCCTTGTAACAGGGCACAATTGGAAACACTGTTTACATTAACAAGGCTTTGACTGGAAGGCAATATTTGAGAATATGCATTGAATCAGAAATGACCAGACAGCTTTAAGGAACTAAGATTGACTTTATGAAGCTATAAAGCCCCTTAGAAAACCAGCCTGGTACCTTGCTTACTTACAGTGTTCCTAGCAGCCTTACCGGGTGAGTAAGAATGGTCGCTTCCTGGCAGATGCAAGAACCTCAGGATATTTTGGGAACCTCAAGAAGAGAGAAATTCTCCCAAATCTATAAGTATTACATGCAAGTGTGATGGCAAATACTTGGCCTGGCTTGCTGGCCTTGAGAGCTATTAAAAATTCAGTCTGAGACTTCCCTGGTGGTCCAGTGGTTAAGATTCCATGCTTCCACTGCAGGGGGCACAGGTTTGATCCCTGGTTGGGGAAATAAGATCCTGCATGCTGTGCTGTGTGGCGAAAAAAAGAGCCTATGTGCTCAGTTGCTATTCTTGCTAGACTTAAGTAAATAATCGGCCAATTTTAATGAAACTAAACTTATTTTGCAAACAAATTAGTTTTAATTTGGCTTTCGTTGGTAGAAATGAGAGTGATTTTAAAGAGAAAAAATTGCGTTTCAGCAAAAACTCTAATACACAGTTATGAATATTAGATTTGTGTTCTATCAATCATCTTTTTTTTTTTTTTTTGCGGTACGTGGGCCTCTCACTGTTGTGGCCTCTCCCGTTGCGGAGCACAGGCTCTGGATGCGCAGGCTCAGCAGCCATGGCTCACAGGCCCAGCCACTCTGCGGCATGTGGGATCTTCCCGGACCGGGGCACGAACCCGTGTCCCCTGCATCGGCAGTCGGACTCTCAACCACTACGCCACCAGGGAAGCCCTATCAATCATCTTTGAAGTTTTGTTCTTCCACCTAAAAACTGGACTGGGTTCTGAATTCTTCTAGTCTCCTCAAATATTTGGCAACAACTGTTCACACTAATGTTTCCAATTTTTCTCCCCCTTTTGACTTGGAATCATTTAGAACTAAAGCTGAACAACTTGATATAAACTTAAGAGAGATCACCACAATAGCCCATGTTTAGACAATCTCTGTGCCTGTCACTTTGTAAGCCACTCAGAAAGTTTACCTGAACACCTGATGACATCATCAGAGACATTTCAAACTACAAAACATGCTTCAACCTTAAGATCTAGAAATCTTCTCCACTGGCAACTCTCAGGACTCAGACACTGGGTTTAAAATTTGCTCCAACCATTAACATTTGTTTTTCTTTTGTCTCCGTAGAAACGCATCTTATTAAATACCTGATTGCTTACACCCTATAGGGCTAACTTTGCGAGCCCACTTGCATCACTGCCTCCTGAAATGAGTAACTGATCTGACCTATTGTCAGAACTAAGAAACTGGCTCAGTGAGATAAAGCAATCTATCAACCCAACTTCTGGACTGTGAAATCTCTTAAAAGAAGTTTCAAAGGCAGGACTGTAGTAGAGCAAAATTTGCCACCTCAAAACGTCTCTTTGGCATGGGTACTATTTCTAGATGAAAACAATCAAGGCCCCAAAGACTCAGGAATAAACTTTGATCTTCCTCCTAACTGCCTAAAAGAATGTAGTTAGAGGACCTGTTGCAGGAAGGGAGATATCAAGTAGATAACTATAGGATGAATAAGTGTGGTACACTGGAAGGAACCTGGAAAAATCTGTTAAAATTCCTCTCTGTGTCCCATTGTCTCTGCCTGGCTCAGCAAACTTTTTTTTTTTACTACACATCTGCTTTCTATCTCCATGTGAATTACTTTCCTCCCCTTTGAAGTCCCAAACTACTTCCCCCTTTTGTCTTTCGCTAAAGATGGTATTTAAGGTGAGGGTTTTGGCCATTTGGGGGAATTACTCAATTCTTCTGGGTCTCTCCCATCTATACATGTTAAAAAAAAAATGACTAAGTTATTTGTGAAATTTGTTTTTTCCTACTCCTATCTCAATTTTTATAGCTAATTATATGTTGACTAATAGAAGAGATCAGTGTATTAATTAGCACAGTTCCCAACTTGATCAATATTCCCAAATTAAAATTAGATTATTCGTTCATTCAATGAGGCTATGGCATTCCAGACATTGTGAAAAATTCTGAAGATATGGTCCTTGCCTTTAGGAAGCCTACAACAATGAGAAGGCAAATATTGAATAGGTAATTAAATGTAAGAAGTTCTAAGAAGGAGCAGTATTACCTTAAATGTGAAGGTTGTCGCTGCCTTAATAGGTGGCATCTGCAATCTTGATCTTGGCAATCCATTGTAAATAGTCCAGTTAGCTGGTTCAGCAAGTCTTTCACCTTTGTAGAAATATAGACACAGAGTCATTATTTCATCTTCTTAATTCAGCATATAAAAGAATGCTGCTAAAAAAAAAAAGAAAGAAAAAAAATGCTGCTATCACAGTTTCTAATTATTAGCATCTTAGAAGATATTTGCATCTTACAAAGCACACTTAACAAAGCAACATTGTTTGATTTATGCCAACCCCTTTCAGTCTTTATTGCAAAGCTAAAAACTGTATAGGAAACTTCTAGTATTGGAAAATCAATCTCTCAGTAAAAGTATTTAACACATTTGATCTGCTCAGTGTTCAGAGTCTCTAACATGACAGGATCTCACTATCTTCTCCATTCATGAAGTTAAATTGTTCTTATATAATCCTTTTTTCCATTCTCCTCTCACATCCTAGAAGAGGCAATCTTGTAACTTCAAAGTCCAAATTCTATCAAATGGGTCACAGCAAGGTTGGAAAACAAAGTGTGACTTGTGTACTAATAAAGCAGTATATGTAAGTTTCTTAATAAACATACCAATAATTAAGATTTAATAGAGAAGAAATAATATCTAGTGTCAAATTTCACATTTTCCCTGAAGATGTTGCATTATCTTTCATAAAAGAGGGATCGCCTAGATGCTCACTGTACAGATATAGACATGATGCCATTAATGATGTCACAAAGTGATAGGATGATCTGGTCATCAAGATAGCAACATTCTCTTCCCAAAAAAGTGAAAAGTTAATGTCATGATGGCTGAGATTCATGACAAAAAATACATTCCAATTGAGTATTTCTAAAATCCTGGGTCCAAAAACTGCCCCAAATTAGTTTCAAACTTAAGATGTGAGAATGTTAGTATATTGTACAATAAA